ACATGGTCCCTTGTGATTGCGGATCTCCAGCGATTTGACACCTGATTGGTTCTAATCACTAGATTTATTTTTTCAGAAGTTCTTGCCCATAGGTGTCCAGAAGAACTCGGGGGGCAAGCATGTAATCAAAGACGGGGCTTAGGGAATAGCTTCTACTAGGAAAGGAGGGATCCTGAGTCTGTGGGTGGTAGATGAACATTCAGAATTATTATCTAGGTGGGACTTACATGTGGTCTCCAGGGCTAGTGCACGGCTGCACCCTCTCAGGCTAGGACCCAGTTGGTTTGTGCTGGGAGAGCCTTGGATCTCTGACACTAGACCACTCTCCCTCCTCTTCTTTCTCCTCCTTCTCCTCCTCCTCTTCCTCCTCCCCTTTCTCCTCTATGGGGTGAGTAAGTCAGCCAGCCTCCTGTCTGGGCTCAGTTACAGCCAGAGGGGCCAGAGCCCAGGAAAGCAGTCGGGCAGGGATTTTCTGAGTGCTGCCGAAGTTGTTCTGGGCAGAGTTCAGCTCTGCTGCAGTTCCCTTCTGAAAAGTGTTCTTCCTCAGTGCTGTGGTGAGAGGCAGGGGTGCAGACCCAGAGCAATGAATATTTGGGATGACTGGAATAATGCTATAGGGTGATTCCAGAAGGAGGTTAACTGTAAAGGGATTTGTGGCTTTGTGGTAAATACACTTCTCTTATCCTTTGTCGGATTGAGAGGTGCATCTTGGTATTGTTGACTTTTCCCTTCCCTCATCCCATTTCCACCCAGTGATCTCATTAGGTGTCCTTCTTTACTAGTGAATTGAGCATGGAGTAGAAATTGGAAAGATTCTGGGACCAGAAAATGAAGAGATGCTTTAACCCAGACTTCAGAATTGGGGAACTTTGCTGAGGTGGGAATGGGTTGTCTGTAACATGAACCAAAAGTGCTGTATGTTAAGGGACCTTCACCCATCCTTTGCCTGTTCAGGAGCTAAAGAAAATCATGGATCTCTCTGATATTGTTTCAGGACTGGCATGCAGCCAGATCAGGAGGTGGTAAGGGTGAAAATTTCCTTCTGGGTTTTCCCTTGGGTTCTAGAGATCCTTAAACAAAGTGTGATCCAGCACACGTGCCTCTCTGGACTTGTTTGAGAAGAATCCAAGGAGGCCAACTAGACTGTGGAGTTGACTCAGATTGCAAGAAGATGAGGGATTCATTGTCTGTTCTCTGCCTGAGTCCTATGGCTGTGGGTTTGGGTGGTCCTTAGCAGCTATGACCTGATGCTTTACCAAGAAGGAAGGCCCGGAAAATGGAGTAAGAAACGAGGGAAAGAAAGAGAGTAGGAAGGTTTCCTGACCCCCTCACTCCTCTTCAGTCAACCCTATCAGATTTTGTACTATGGAAGGTCTGGATGCTCTTAGGGGTGGCATGGTTATTTGTGTTTACAGTTTCTTAATTTCTTTCCCTTATTTAGCTTCTAAACTGATCTCTTTTTGGGACAGAGTCCCAAAGGAAGCTTCCAGAACTTGAATAGATTTCCTAGGCTCCTCCCTCTAGCTCCAGAAGAGATAACAGGTGCACAAAGCCCAGACCTTCAATGGTGGAAGGCTTGAGTCCTGGTTGCCTAGATCAAGTGGTGACTTAAGACAGGAGGGACGTTCCACGTCCAATGGAGACAGTGACCAAGGTCAGCCTTTGGACCTCTGCTAGATGCCTGCTGCTACCTGCATAGTAGCAGAGGTCTTGTGCCTGCATAAGCAGGAGCACCTAGATGACAACTAGGTGTGTGGGTGGATAGGGGCTTATAGGACAGCGGCTTCCACTTGTCACTGCCTCAAGTCCATTTGAGATGCAAGTAGAGAGAAATAAGGAAATGACCAGATTGCTCATGAGCCTCTTGTGTGCCTAGCATAATACCAGGCCCTCTGAAGGATATCAGGAAGCAGATTCCAGCAAACCAGGCCTTTGCTTCTAAAATGTGGAGCCTCAGGAAGGCCAGCAGCTGCCAGACTCTCTGTACCATTGTTCAGCACGATAAGACTCAGATGGGCTGAACCCAGCCTGGTAGTTATTCCTAATCAACATGGCCTCACTTCTAATTATGCTTCTCTCTGTTTTCTCTTTAACATTTCCTTGTCAATCTCCTTCTCAATATGCTAGAATGACTTATAATATATCATTCACACAGATTCTCCTGAGAGTAAACAGGGAGGCTCTGCATGGTTATGCCAGGACAGTGGGCATAAACCAAAGCTGTCCAGGGCAAACTGGAACATTTAATTATTGTAGTGAACACCACTCCAAACCAGCAGTAGTCAGACATAGCGATGGTTACTGTGTTGCAGGGGGAGGCTAAATGTGAAGGGGAAGTGGGGGTAACTATGTTCTGAGAGTAGTCCCAACACTCTGACCTGCTCCCGGGATCATCATCCAATTCGTTTCCCTGAGGGTAGCATCTCTCCCAGCCACTTTGTCCTGGGACCGGGCCTACCGCGTGTGGCCTCCCTTCACCCTTGATCTGTAACTGGTCTCACCTTTGATTTTGCAGCCCCATCCCCGCCTCAGACTGGGACAGGAAGGCCTGCCAACTCTTCTTCAGCTTCCCCAGGGGGACTGGGATGCACAGGGAAACCAAGACTCACACTCAGGCTTTCTCTTCTCGCCATGTGTTCCCTCTTCATTTTGTCCTTCTGGTTTCCCTGACCTCCACACCTCCCATGGGAAACTCTGGCTCTAAAGTAGGCAAACACCAGAAGAAGAAATGTAGTCAAACTTTGCCCATGTAGGTAAAGGTCATTTGTAATCAAGAGCTAGAAAACTGGGTGTGATGGTGCACACCTATAATCCCAGCACTAGGTGTCTGAGGCAGGAAGATCACAGTGAATTCAAGGCCAGCCTGGGCTACATAGTGAGACTTTGTCTCAAAAAACAAAAACAAATGAACAAACAAGAAACTGGGTACCATCCCAGCCCCAGAGGAGGCTTCTGATCGGTAGGTTGATCATATTGGCTTCATTCCTTGTCAATGGCTGTTTTGGCCTGTGGGTGTATGACACAATTCTGGGCAAAGTGATGGAAGGGGAATTGTGGCAGAGGCTTCTGGGAAGGGTCCTGTTACTTCTATAAGAGATACACGGCAAGAGGCCATCCCTTCCTCTGCTGGACATTGTCAAGGAATTTGCAACCATGGCCTTAGAACCTGGGGAGAGGCAGCTCGTAGGTAACATCAGTACATTTGCCATGAAGATTGAAAGCAGCAAACCTTGACTCTTGCTAATGCTATTGAGCTGCTGCATTGACCAATCTATGGAGCTCCTCTGTTTCTGGTTTTGTTTTGTGAGATAATAAACTGACTTTTTTTGTTATTGTGTTTAAACCACTTTGATTCAGTCTTCTGTTTCTTGCAGCTAAAGAACATTCTAATAAATACAACTTCTTTGTGGATCCCCCAAGACTAATTTGAGATTGGCTCTAGTTTTCCAGGATGGGTGTTGATTTATCTAAATCAGTCATAATGATCCCATTCTGATCAGAAGCCCTACCCCAGAATTTGGTATTCAGAACATGGCATTCCTGTGGCATGGGGATAGGCTCCAAGAATGGTTCCTGACCCAGTTTAAGGCAGTGAGCACTGGCTGTCTCCTTTTGCTTGTAGGGACAGTCACAACAAGAGAGATTCTTTCTTTTAGTCCGCAAGAAAAAACGTGTTCTGCTGACCACTGATAGCTGCGTTCTGTATCAGGAAGCAAGCCGCACACTGTAGAGGACAGAGCTGGGGAACAGAGACAGCCGGGTCTTTGCTGACACTGTGAGCCCCTGGACCAACCAGTCCTCCACACTTGCTGTTACATGAGCCAGTGTACCCCCTTCAGCCCCAGGTAGGCACTTGTGCTGCTCAACTAATTCCTGGCCCCTCTTTAACCAGTTTGTACCAGGTTTCTGCTGCAGCCCTTGAAATCATCACATGATAAATAGCTCATGAATTTAGAGGATACTGGATTGATCTCACCAGCATCCCCTGAACTTATCACTTCTTTATCCTACCGCCTTGGCCAGACCCATGATTTCTCACCTGGATTCCTGCAAAGACCTCCTCTCTCTCTCTGTCTCTCTCTCTCTGTCTCTGTCTCTCTCTCTCTCTCTCTCTCTCTCTCTGTCTGTCTGTCTCTCTCTGTCTCTCTGGGTACTGAGAATCGAACTCAGGATCTTGTGCTTGCAGGCAGACCACTGAGCTTGCAGGCCACTGAGCTAAGTCTGGCCCTAAGACCTCCTGTATTGCTGACCTCCGGCTCCATCCCCCTCTAGTTCATTTGTCCCTGCACTGCCACATGGGTTACAATGAAAAGCTGAGTGTGTCATCTTCCTGCTGCAGATCCTCCTCTCCACATGGCTGTCCCCAGCTGAGTCCATTAAACTTACTTCAAGCTGCTGTGGGAGCCCTTCAGGCTGTCCCATTGTTTCTTTGGCCAACCATGGGACCCCAGTACAGCATCACATTATGATTTTTTTCTTTCTTTCGAGTTTGTCTCACTATGTGGTGGATTGTGGGGAGGCCCATGTTCCAGATTCAGCAGACACTAAGTTTGTGCCGTGAGTATAGCTAGAACTAAGTTTTGCCCAAAAGGTGCCAAGTAAGTGGGGCTCTAATAAGACAGGCAATTCAATATGGTATTCAGAACACTGGACTATAATCTGCAAAGCCTGAACTTTTGTTTTGATCTCACCATTTATGAACTGTGAGGAATTTGAGGAAACGTCTTAGCTTCCATGCACATCAGTTTGTCGTCTAGAAAATGGCACACTGCAGTTTGTGCAAGGGGTAGTATAGTCTGCTCCAATGACAGCGAACCATTGAGTGCTTTCAATAACACAAACAGCTCACTGCGGCACGTGTGCCGTGGGTTCACCACCACTGTACTCGCCGCCCTTCTGAAGAGAATGACTATTTTGCCTGAAAACTTCTCATTCACAACGAAGACACAAAAGGGGGGGGGAGATACTAATGTGATAGAGAATAAAAAGGAAATGCCAAAGTCTTTCACAGTGTGTTTATTATCCATAATTATAGCATGGGTCACAGGATCATTTTCCACAGTTAAGGAAACAGGAATAAAAAAGATGATTATGATGATTAGAGGTGATTCAAAGGACCACTAGACAGCACTGTGGACAAATAAAATGCTGCTCCAGGCAGCACATAAATGTAGGTTGCTCAGTCACTAAAATAGCTTAATCTGGCCATTCTAAGTGCCACACAGAGGAGGACCCAGGGGGCTGGTGGAGAAAAGTGATTACTTAAACAGAGAGTGATTTAATACCACCACTGGCTGTGTGACAACAAACTACAAATTACTAACCTTGGGTTTTTCCACCATTTATTTGGTTGTTTGCACACAACAACAGCAGCATTTGTTGGTGACTGTATTAAAGGACGGGGGATTGCAGGAGGACACAAATAACAAGGCGGGACATACAGCCAGTTCAGCAGCTTCCCCTAATTCGGTGACCACAAGGCCGAGGGAGCCCAGGGCTGCCTTGAGGGCTTGATGTGGTGTTGGATCGCACTAAATGTATACCTTTTACTTAACTGCTGGTGTTCCTTCCATCTCAGTCTTTGGAAACCTTTGAATATGATGGAAACATAGCTTCACAGCCAAAACAGCAGCCTGGAGCCTGTGGCTGGCTGGTTTTATTTTTAGGATTACAGGAGACCTGCATCAAGCCTCTTGCTTTTATATTTAACCTCAGTTTCCCAAAATTAGGAAGCAGAGGCCACAGCAGCTTAGAGAGAGTTGCAAAAACCAAGTCTTGGTGGTCAGATGCACCAAGATGTAAGTCTCGGGCTCTGTACGTCCTGGGCACATGAACTTTACTAGGTTACATAACTTCTTTGAGCCTTATTTTCTCCATCTACAATATGAGAATAATAAATATATACTTAGTTTTTCCTCACTCATTCATTACTAAGTGCCTCCTAAGTATCAGACAATATCCTAAGCCAGAGTTTTAGAAAAAAGTGAAATAGATGTAGCTTCTATCTACATGGTGCTCATAGTTCATTGTGAGAAATAAATAATAGACAAAATCCACAGCCTGGATTTTAACAGGTGCTGAATAAATGTTCTGAGTTGACTAAAAATACAAGTATTGAAATTTTTAAGCATTTGGGTATATAGTAATTGCTATTTCATTGATTCCATTCCTACCTCATGGCCTTTGTGCATGATGCTCTGTCCAGTTTGTTCTTTCCCTGCTTATGTACAGGACTCCTCTCCCTTCATTGTATCTGTATCAAATGTCATCTCCTTGTGATCTCTATCACATTACTCTCTTATCATGCTTTAAATCCAACCCCCCCCCCATCCTGGCCCTGGGGACAGGAAACAGAGAGCACTGAGCTATATCCCCAGCCCTTTATTTTATTATTCTGAGACAAGGTCTCATTAATGGTGCAGGCCAGCCTTGATTTTGCGATGCTCTGGACTCAGCCTCCTGAGTAGCTGGACATATGCAAGACACCATCCTTGGTTAAACCCATTCTTGATGGTTTTAAAAATCTTCTATTAGTGACAGGTGCCTCTTAGATTTAGGGTAAATTTTTGTGATAAAGTCCCTAGAATATAAATCATTTTTATTTATTTTACCTTTTTTTTTTAGACAGAGTTGCACTATGCAGTTCAAACTGACCTTGAACTCACTTTGTAGCCCAGGATTGCCTCAGTCTTGCAGCAATCCTCCTGCCTCAGTCTCTTGAGTGCTGGGATTACAGGCATGTGACACCACACTTGGAATATAATTATTCTTTAGAAGATAGACCTGAAGACACTTTATAATAAAAGTTATAAGAATGGCCAATAATAAAATGATATCTGGCATCACTAGTTATCAAGATGGATATTACTAAGTGTTGGCAAGGACTGGAACTTTCATCACTGCTAATGAGAATGCAAAATGACTTATCACTTTGGAAAACAACTTGGCAGTTTCTTATGTATTCTTACCATGTAATCCAGTAACCACACTCTTAGATAAGAGAATTGAAAGTATATATATATAGCATGAAAGTATATATTCATAGCATTATTCAAAATAGTCTAAAATTGGGAGCATCCCCAATGATGAATAGATAAACAAAATGTGTTTACATACACATATACAATGGCATACTACTCAGAAAGAAAAAGAATGAATAATTTTGCAATATGAGTGAGCCTCAAAAACATACTGCTGAGTGAAAAAAAGCCAGAATCGAAAGACTCTCTACTGTCTGATTTCATGTATTTGGAAATCAGATGGTGGTTTTCTGGGATAGAGAGTAGGGAAAAAGGATTGACTACAAATGACCCAAGAGAACTTTTGGGGATGGTGGAAATACCTTTAGAGTCGTGGTGGTTAAACAGTGTATATAACTGCTAAAACTTACTGGCCATACACTTACGATGAGTGAAGTTTATACACAAATTGCTTTAGTAAAGCTGTTACAAGAAATCTTAAATAAATGTGCACATAGAAAGTGACTATCTCTTATGATGGAACTTAGGTGCTTTTAATTTTCTCATCTTATCTAAGTTGTGTAAAATTTCCACAATGATTATGTAGTGCTTTTGGACTCAGATAAAAAACCCCATGAGTAACTGGGTCATGTAATCCCATCAGGGAGTCTGTTTGGATGCAACATGCGTTACTTGTAACGAAGCCTATTTGATCATCTCGCTCATCGATCTTTCCTCAGTGGCACTTCACAGGGGTGAGCTGAGGAAATGAATGCAGAAAGGCACAGACCTTAATAGCAATGCTTTGTCCCTGCAGCCCTGGGCTTGGCTCTCCTCTGGATTTGGAATGAATACACAGTAGACTAATGATAGGGGGCTCTGGCCCTCCTCTGCCAGCTCTGCCCTCCATTCCAACCCAAGTCAATTCGTGCATCCTCCAGGGCCCAGGGCCCAGGAGAAAGCCCGCAGCTCGGGGCTGGGCAGACTGTGGTTTGTGGCCCTGGCGGCCCCCACCTTCAGCTCACGTTGGTCAGTCAAGTGTTGCACGGTCTTGAGGAAGTCAAGAGCCCATTCATCTGTGGAGACCCACAATGAGAATGGTTGCTCTTGTTGCACACAGCACCGCAGGACACGGAGTCCCTCCAAGAGTCCCTCTGGGGTGGGGACACTCAGTGTCAACAGGCCACCCGCCTTTTCCCCCATCACACATTCAATTCATCTCAGAATTCTCCACCATGAGAGGATGTCACCTTAGGAGACCCAACCTAGCCAGAGACAGAGGGTGGCACATCGGGAGAGGCCCATGTGGCCTATCCTTGAGGGCCGTGCTTGTACAAGGCAGCCAATAGGGCCCAGGTATCAGGACAGAGGAATCCAGCAAGGTTAATAAAACTAAAATTACACAAACAGCTTCACAAAAGTGACCTGCGGGTGGAGAGTACAGTTTTTTAGCTGCTCTAGTCAAGTATCTAAGCCCAATAGGAAGAAGCTCAGAAGCTGAGGCAGACAGAGCATGAGACAGATCACAGCTGTCCTCAGATCCTCTGTCACCCACATGTGCCCAGTTGGAGACATCTTGGGGTTCTGTCTTCAGGACTCCCACAGGCACTATTTGCAGGAATGACATAAAAGTGCCACATATCGTTCACCGTAGCCGAAAGGTGGAAACTAAGCAAATGCCCACTGAAGCACAAACGAATAGACGAAAGATGGACTACGTATGCAACAGAATACTCTTCAGCCTTAAAACAAGGAAGGAAATTCTGTTAAGTTCTTTTTTTTTTTTTTTTTTTTGGTCTTTTTCGTTTTTATCAGTACCGGGGATCGAACTCAAGACTGCTGCTCGCAAGGCAGGTGCTTATGCCGCTGAGCTAAATCCCCAGCCCTAAGGAAGGAAATTCTGATGCAGGCTGCCACATAGCTAAACCTTGAGACCACTATGCTGAGTGAAAGGACAGTCACAAAGGGATAAATACTATTCCACCTTTTTGAGGTACCGAGAGGAGTCAAATTCAGAGACGGAAAGCATCGTGATGGTTATTGGGGGCTGGGAGGAGGGGGAATGGGAAGCTGCTCTTTAATAGGCACAGAATGGCATTTTGAGATAAAACTGCTCTGGGAATGGGTAGCAGCAATGGTTACACAACAACGCTTATGTTACATGTATATTCTCACATACACAAAGAAACAACCCCACGTTCCCTCAAGGCCTCACCACTTGCTGATAGCATCAAGTCTTACCTGTTACCGTTTAGATCTGTCTTGAAATGGGCAGGTATGGCCAGTGATTTTCTTTCAAGAAGTAAATATAGCAGCAATCTATGAACTGTGACCTACACAAGTTTATGGCAGTCATGACCTATCTGGGCCTGGCATCTTTGGAAAGTTAATTAAGCAAGGGGATTGTGGAGGAAAGATTGTTTGCAGAGTACCTTGGTTCCCACGTTCCCTCCTCCTGTACAGATTGTGATTTTCTGCTAAAGGAGAAGAAACATCTCAGGAGAGAGATGCAGGGGTAATCCCAGACAGTTCCTAGCCACCGGGACAGATATTTGGGGTCTGAAATGGTCCTTTCACCTATTTTTAGAGGCTAGACTCAGAAGTCTTAAATAAACATCCAGCCACACTCAGGCCTTTGTGACACAGGACACTGATGAAGCACCAGAGAAGAGGGTCACACACGTTCATTCATGGGTAGGGTGACACACCCTACCTGAGATTCTTGTCCATCCCTCTCAGACCCGTGGGCCAGAGTCATGAGGAAACTCGGCAGCCTGCTCAGGTCAAGAGTACATACACAGGGAAACTCAGGCTGGAAATTACAAGAAGAAACACAATAGATTTCCATTTCCTGGTCCAAGAGTTTGATTACCACAATTCCAGCTTTTGGTTTCACTCTTAGGCAGAAAATGTTGGAAATTTCCAGGATTCTTCCCAGCCATGCCCACCTTCCCTGAAAGGCAGGATGCAGTGTGGGAAGAACAATCAGAAGCGAAGTTTTCATACAAATTCTGCCCCTCTATGGTCCTGTGACGTTGGCCATTTGGGGCCTCAGTTTCTTGTCACAATGGCAATAATAACATCTTCAAGCTCAGCATGTATGAATCAAATGACACAGTGTTTGGGACACTAGAACGGTCATGCATTTTCTTCAGGCCCTGTACCCAAAGCTTAGAGTGGAACAAACTGTCCTGGGAGAGAGAGGGCAGGAACACTTCTTGGCACAGACCAATATATTATATAGCTAGCAGGCGGCACACAGAGTATGCCCCTAGGAAGAGTCAGGGGAGCAACTTCAGCAACAGCACATAGGGATGTCTATCCCAAGACACAGGATCACAGCATCAAGCCACAAGTCAGGGTTCCTTACTGCTTCTCTGTTGCCTAATTACCATTTTCAGATAGCAGGGGAAGCAAAATCTTCAGCTGAGAGATTTTGGGCTAGGCACTTCTTGTTTTGGGGGTTTTAGTTTTTGCATCTGTAGAAGGTTGTTATGCTTTGTGTTTGGATGCCCCTCCCCAAGTCTCATGCAGTCATGGGAGCAGGCTTCTAGGATTTGTGACTGATTCGGGGTCCAATGCTGAGACAATGGATGTGTGAGTGCTATACCCACACTAAGGTGGGTGTGACCTACATACGATTTAAGGAACTGAGTCTTCCCTTTGAACCCTTCCCCATTTGCTCTTGTTGCTTCTGCTCTCTTTCACTGCCATGATTGGTTACCCCACTGCCACCCTGATTTGCCACCCTACTTTGAAGCCAGCTGATTAGTCTGAACTCTCCATAAACTGTGAGCTAAATAAACCTTTCCTTCCTTCCTTAATTTTGGGTGTCAGGTATTTTGTCTCAGCAACGAAAGAAAAGTAACCAAGACAAAAGCTCATTTTCAAACTGGTATCACACACCTGTAATCTCAGTACTCTGGGAGGCTAAAGCAGGGGCATCCCAAGTTTGAGCCCAGCTCTTAAAACTTAGTGACTTCCTGGAGGCTTGGGGTTTAGCTCAGTGGCATAAGCGCCTTCCTTGCAAGTGTGTGGTCATGAGTTTGATCCCTGGTACGGATAAAAAACAAAAACTTAGTGACTTCCTTCATGAGACCCTGCCTCAAACTTTAGAAGGACCAAAAAGGGCTGAAGATGCAGCCTAGGGCAAAGGCCTTAGGTTCAATCCTCAGTACGAAAAATTTTTAAACATAAGCAGCCCATTTACAAAGCCTTGTGAGGATTCGGCCAGATGATGGCTGTCAAACCCACCAAACAGAAGGGTTTGGGGGAACTTTGTTCTCTTTTCTGTCTCACATCAGCCTCTCTCTGAGAGAGAGAGCCCCGCTCTGCCTGTATGTGACCAAGAAGCATCCTGGTACCCTCTTCTAACTCCAGGCCAAGTTGTGGTTGGGGAGGGGTCACGTGCACAGTGAGAACCACTTCAGATGCTCCAGGCTGGCATGGTGGAGGGCAGATGGGAACAGCCCGGCCCCTCCCGAGGCAGGTCCTGGTGGGCCACCCGCCCGTTGCGTAGTGGGAGGCGACCAGGCCTGGGAGCCCCGCTGCTGGCGCCCGACTCGGAGGGCAGGCCCGAGTCGCTGGGCTGCACCTCTACCAAGACCCGCCTGCGCAGGAGCCTGGCGGGCCTCTCGGAATAGGCCGCTGCGTGGTGCCCGCCGCAGGGCACCCCGCAGAGCTGCGCGCGGAAGGCGGCCTGGAAGCCGCGGCGGAAGTTCTCGTTGAAGTAGCCGTAGATGATGGGGTTGGCGCTGCTGTGGAAGAAGGCCAGCCAGTGCGCCAAGGGGAAGGCGTAGACGGACAGCAGGTGCAGCTGCGGTTCGCTGAGCTGCACGTAGTCGACGAGTAACAGCAGCGTCCAGAGCGGCAGCCAGGACAGCGTGAAGAACAGCGCCACCATGACCAGCATGTGCACCACGCGCGCCTTGCGCTGCGACGCGCGCCTGCCCTCGGTTGTGGCCTCCTCGCCGTCGCGTGCTGGACCCGCGGCCTTGCAGAGCTTGCGAGCGATGCGGGCGTACATGACCACGATGAGCGCCAGCGGCGCCAGGTATATGTGCGCGAAGAGCACGGTGGTGTAGACCTTGCGCATGCCCTTCTCGGGCCAGGCCTCCCAGCACGAGTAGAGCGGGTAGGAGCGGTTGTCAGCATCCACCATGAAGTGGTACTCCTCGCGCGTCACGGTCAGCGTGATGGCCGAGGGACACATGATGAGCAGCGCCAGGGCCCAGATGACCGCGATAGTGACCAGCGCTTTCCGCAGGGTCAGCTTCTCCCGGAAAGGGTGCACGATGCAGCGGAACCTGTGGTGGGTAGGGGGAAGAGAGACAGGGGTGGGGGAGGTCCCCCTGGGCCGGGGGAGGAGGAAGCCCACCCTCAGTAGGTGTGGTGGGATGAGGATACTTGACAGTCCTCATGTCACCTCAAGGCCGGTCAGAGGACAGCTCAGATGCTGATTGAGTTTGCAAGCAGATTGCTTTTTCACCCGGCAGGGAGGCAGCTCAGCCCGTGGAGTCCTCTAGCAGCACTGGCAGAGAGGAGAGGAGTGGACCGCAGACCTGGGACCCTAAATCCTGCCTGTGTGCTTCTAGGGTAAACTGACAGTTGGTAGCAATCTAGTGACACGGTCTCCATCCTGGAGTAGGCTGACTGGGTGTTTCCCCAAACACTGTAGCTATTTATGGCTTTCCCAGAACACCTTTGGAGCTCAGGTGTGGCCACACCTCTGTCACCATCTCAGCCATGTCCTCCCATCAGTTTCGCCACTCTGTGAGGCCTGGTGTGCAGTGCAGCATTCCTTGTTAGCATCTTTCAGCAGCAACTGCTGATTCACCTCATCATTTACAGAGAGGAAACCGGGACTCAGGTGACAGTGGTAAGACTCTGAACCCAGACTGTGCACCACTGCGTCACATCAGGCAGTAGCTGTGAGGCCTCGCTGTGCATTAGAATCTCCCAAAGCCATTTTCATGAAAACTCATGCTTATTTGGGCAAAAACTCGGGTGTAATTAGTCTGGGAAGGGGCTTCATGTGCAACTCTCACGCATAGCCAGGGGTGAGAACTGCTGGGGGAGGTGGAGGAAGTGGGTACCTCTCTCCTGCAGTGTGGTTCAAAGGCCATTGGTCAACGTGGGCTACAGGGCAGGTGCTGTGACTTCCTGTCTTATCATTCTTAGGTATGTTTAGGTGACTATAAGAATGAGCAGCCAGAAGGGCCAATTAGTCAAACTCTTTCTAAGCCACTAATATGACCTATAGGACTCCTGTGAAGAGGAAGTGAGATGGTGACACCCTTGTAGACATTTCGGATGCTTAATAGTGTGAAAAAGGAGGGGCTATTTCTTAGAAATTCTCCCCTGGTCTATCGATACCCAAAAACAGACATCTGAAAGGGAAGAGGAAGTAAAAGATAAATTAAGATGAATTACGTAATTACACACATGTTCCAACTTCCCACAATGAATGTAGTCACCATGTACTGCAAACACGTAGTAATAAAATTTTTTTAAAAAACAAGAAAATAGACACCTCCCAGGTGTGGTGGTGCATGCCTGTAATCTCAGGATTTGGGAGACTAAGGCAGGAGAGTCACTGCAAGTTCAAGGCCAGCCTGGCCTACATAGTGAGACGTTATCTCAAGCAAACAAAGAAAAACCAAGCCCTGTAAAGTTTACCCAGTCAAGCTTACTTACTCAAGGGAAAGGAAACCTGGCTGAGACAGGGAAGGGGCTTTCTTACAAGGTTGCATGGCTGCTTCCAGCAGAACCTGTGCAAGAACACAGGTATTGGGCTGACTTCCGGCTGAGCAGCCTTTCCTCTCACTAACCTGGACCCCACCCTTCTGCTTCCCTACTGCCCAGCCTGGAAGTAGCCTTCCCCTTTCCCACAGCCTGACTCAAGACTTGCTGCTTCAGCCTCTGTGACCCCGAGCTCCTTAGCTTTCTAAGTTGCATACTCAAGACATCTTCAGAGGACAAATAATTCTGAAAGCGTGCAGCACTGGTTATAAATGCAATAGCTGCTTGTAGATGGAAAGAATGATGGGGTGGTCCAGGAAGGCTTCCTGGAAGGAGTGGGACTTAAAAAATACCCCAGACACTTCTGGTAGACGTTGCACTCACCTAGGACTCAACAACCACAACAAAATGAAGATTTGAGGGGGAGGGCTTCCACAATCACCAGGTTGACTAGTGCTTTGTGGAAAAGGAAACCTGCCTCCTCATGCTAGCTGCCTACCTGCTTGGGCTATAAAAAAGTAGGTTTGAGGTGAGCAGAGGTAGAGAGAAGATGAGAATGCAAGATTCAAGAAAGGGCAGGGCTGTGAAGCGCTCCTGTTGGAGAGAGGACAAGGAAGTGGGTGCGGAGGAAATAAAACAATGTTAGCTGCTGGCATTCAGACTCTGTGCCAGGCATGTGCATAAACTTAGTAGGCAGAAGTTCTCAGAAGTCTCCAGGTCTGCAGAGAGCTGAAAAGATTGAAGAGGCTCAGAGTACCTAAGTGACTTACTCAACATTCTACAGCCAGGCAATCACAAAAACTACCTTGGGTTATCAGCCTGCGTCTGTCCCTGGGGGAAGCACCAGAAGGAGTCACAGCACTGGAGATGCTGAGCAGAAGGTACAAGTGCAGAGCACTACAGAAGACTTGTGGGCTCCGGGCTGCCTCAAAGACTTCGTGGCCCCAGCTCAGTTCAGGTCCTCATCTGTGACCTTACATAACGTGTTTATAGCATAGAATCTGCTGGCCGCTGGGGCTTAAAGATCAGGAGTGGCAGAGATAGGTTAAGTGTGGCTTAAGAAAAGCCAGGTCTTCAGGGACCAGCAAGCGGGCTGCAGGCGAGGATGAAGGAGCTTAGATGAGACCACTTTCCCCAAGATGCTCTCTTGTCTCCCGCTGCCCCGGCTCAGATTTTACAGGAGCAGGATCCCAGCTGCTCAGGATCAGGACTTTCCTCCAGCTCATTTAGGGTCATTAGGAATGCTACCAAACCTCCTCAGGAGCTGCCCCCAGACCTCCAGAGGGAGGGAGTGCTGGTATCACCAGGGGTCTAGAAGGCACCTAGTACCACAGCCTCCACTTTAGGGCTGAGGATTCAGCCCCACCTACCACTGAGTGGCCCTGGCCTCCCAGCCAGCCCAGCACCAGAAGCAGTGGCCCTGCTATGCCCCCGCCCCAGTAGGCCCTGTAAATCCCTTACCTTTCTACAGCAATGGCCACCAGTGTGAAAACGGAAGCTGACACGGACATGCCTTGCACCAAGCCGCTCATCTTGCATGTGATGTTGTCGAAGGGCCACCCTGCAACGACAGAGGTCCCCACAGAGGGAAAGGTGCCCACCCACTGACAGTCACTCCTGGGTGTCTACACTAGGCTCCCTAAAGCTTGACTCTTTCCTCCTGTCCTGCTGGGGACCAGGGTCATCTGGTTTCTACTTGCACACTTCTAAAATCGAGGAACCAAGTGCCCATCCTAGACAGTTTTGACACTCAGGAGGCAGCTTCTGTGATCTCTCTCCATGAGCCCTTCCTGGCTTTCCGTGCCTATCCAGCCCTGGGTTCTGAGCCATTCCATCCTCACGACAACCCAACTACTATCAGCCTCTCTTTTTTTTTGGTCTTTTTTGAGATCCTAAATCACTATGGATCTGTGTTGAGTCAGGCTTTGATGCTGGGCAGTTTAAGAAATAAGAACATTTAAGAAAACACTTATTTTCTCAATTGTGCAAAGGAAATACAGAGAAGATAAAACAGAAAACATGAGATTGGCAACCTGTAGAAGGACAGGGTGAGAACAGTGACAATCATGGAGTGCTGAGGTACTTGAGGTGACAGGGAGGGACATTTCTGTGACCACAGCTGTGTGTCTGTGACTTTTTAGAACCACAGAAATGTTTCAGAAAAAACAAAAACAAAAAACAAAAAACTAAAATCTGTCTGGGTACGGGCGAACCTAAAATGGAACACAAACTATAACAAATCTGGTGTTGCAAATGAATAATTAACCACATTGAAGGGGAGACAGGAGACCCAAACTCAAGCAAGTGACTTTGGAAATCAGTATTTCAGCTGTTTACTACTAAAGAGGAAAAGAATCGAATGTAAGTTCTACACCCTCCTGAATGTGGTATTCCTGACAAAATGCATTCAGTGGCTCTAATTATGGAAAAAGGGGGAAACTCTCGTCGCTGAAGCTAGGTTATATGTATACAAAATTGATCAAGCAAGTAAAGCTTTTATGGATGAATAGAGCTAGAGTTCTCATTGAGAAGTTACAAGTAAAGAATAGGGAGAAACTTAAAATGCATCTTGTGATACTGGATTAGAATCCAAAGAATTAGTATGATCTATCTCATAGTTTTAACAATATAGATGGATGATTGGATATAAAAATAAATGTACGTGTGCTAAATATCTCGGTGAGAATATAGAGATATTTCCTCACCCTGCCCCTTGAGATGGCCGGGAAGCAGTGACACTCTAGTAGCAATGGGCACCCTTGGAATCCAGGTCTTGGTTTCTAAAAACTACTCTCCAGTGAAAGAAAACAGGGATCCTTTGAGAAATGGTTCATTCCAGGGTGACGCAAGGAAAATACAAGATAAGCCTGGAACATTTTGTGGTGCCAGAAAACAGGGAGATAATAGTACTCAAAAAGTCTTGGCAATATGTTAGAAGGACACAGAAGCCCACTAAAAAGAGTGGCCAGTATCCCAAACTGGTGTAATCTAAGCAACAAAATAAAGAATGTAAAAAAAAAAAAAAAGAAAAAAAAAGAATGATCACACTAGATTAAATCCTGTGGAGTAGAATTCCAATTTAAAAATTGTCAAAGGAATGACATAGTAGAAAATTATCACTGGGGAAACATGACACTAATAATTGTTGCAGGCAGAAATTATCAATGCATGCAAAAATTAGAATATGAAACTATAATGAGAAATGAGACATTTGCATGGTGTCAGAGTACCTCCCTGCAGCACATTAATTAATTATAAAGGGAAAAATAATTATGTTACAGTTGAAAAACCTGAGGGACACCATCGTGACAAAGTAATCAAAGTAAACACCACCGTTAATCACATATGCTTTGTCAACATATCTTCTGTGGTGTCTTGTCAAAAATGCATACAGTAAGCCAAGTGTAGAGGTGCCCGCCTGTAATCCCAGCACTCTGGGAGGCTAAAACAGGAGAATAGCAGGTTGAAGCTCAGCCTGGGTAACAGCAATTTAGTCAGAGCCTGTCTCAAAATTTAAAAAGGGTAGAGCACCTGGAGATGTAGCTTAGTGACAAGTGGGTTTAATCCCCAGGACTGCAAAAGAGAAAAAAAAATTTAAACAACAAAATTCAATTTAATTGAGGAAGAACATCAGGCCAACCCGAATTGCACAACATTCTACAAAATAACCGATCAGAGCTCCTCCCATGGGCCAAGGTCATGAAAGACAGACAGACTCATCACAAGTTGGAGGAAACTAAGAAAACAAATATATTGTGTTCCTAGGTTGGATCCTAGACCAGAAAAGTGGTGCCAACCTGGGCTATATAGCAAGTTTAAGGACAGCCTGAACTACATAGCGAGACCTCATCTCAAAAAAAAAAAAACCAAGAAAAGTGATACTGATCTTAATTCTAAAAAACACAATCAAGAACACCATAAAGACCAAGACCCTGAAAGTCTAAAATCCCAAAAATCATATTCCTAATATGAATGCTGAAATCCTGAAATCTGAAATCAGAAATGATAATTTCCAATTAGGAAAAAAAAAAGGCTCTACAAGAGAAGAAATGAAAGCCAAATTCTGGGGAAGGAATTAGTGTATTATTGGCTGCACCCAGGTCACTCACATCTGCCTTGTGTCGGATGCAAAATACCTAGAAATCCAGGAAGATGGTATTTGGGGTGTGTCTTTGAGGGCATTTCCAAGGAGATTGGTGCATGAGGCTGACATTGGCCTAGGTGGTTAAGAGCCATCGAGTAGAGAATGAATGGAAACATCTTCTCAGAGCGCTGGGCCCTCAAAGAAAACACACAGCTGTTGATGGCCACACAAGACTTCAAAATCAGTTAATGACCATGAAGTTGGCTGGTCCTTAGGGACCACTGTGTAATCACCACTAAGCCATCCTGCAGCACACTTCATATGTTGAATCTTCTATAGTGTTCTAAAGACGTGGTCTTTAAAGTGTTTTTGTTTTCCTTTACTTTTTGAAGTTTTGTGCCCACTACTTTACATTTTCAGCCTTTGTTTTTATGATTCACTGTGTTTCATCTCCGCATCATTTCCAACAATGGAGGTATAGATTGCACAAAGATTCTTAGAGAGTTATGCTCATTTTTACAAAATTGACTTCACAAGACTGCACCATCACAATACTGACTTTGTGTGTAAGCGTTCTGTGTTTATGTAAAACTCTGAAACACTCTCAGTAAATGAAGAGATGTCCTGAGTGTAGGTCTGTAGGTACAAAAGATAACATTTCTCAAGACGTTGCTTCTCTGGGCGACTGTCTGCATGCAGGCTGGTGACGCATTGAAGCTCTGGCTCGATCTTAACAAAAGACTAAGGCTGTCTGGTATTTCAGATAACTACAGTTAGAAACTGGGAATACACAATTGTCATCCTAGCGATACGCGTTTATCCATTTCATTTGTTTTACTTATTGCTTTAGTAATACAGTTCATCTGCTCAAAACCGTCATACCTATGTATGACTGTGATTAGCATACTGACTGGAGTGTTTATGCTTGCAATGATTTGTGTGTTATTATTATAGCCTGTTTTATTGTGTAAAGTGACTCTTGAAATTATCTGTCATATTTTTGTTTTTCTCAAATAAATTTCCCTTCAAATATGTAAATAAATGCTTTGTGAGAGGTTGAGACAGCATCCCACTGTGTAGCCCAGGCTGACCCTGAACTCACAATGATGCTCCTGCCTCAGCCTCTCAAGTGCTGGAATTTCCAGCATGCACCACCACATCCAGCTCTTTGTACTAGTTTTGCAAATTTTCTTTTAGTATAAAATTATTTTAAAACAAAACAAAAGCCCACAAGATTCAAAAGATTATGTATGGTATGGTTTTATTTATATAACATCCTTGCAAAAGCCAAACTATATTTCCTGTCCTGGCAGAAAATGGACTGATTGTGCCAGAGTGTGGAGGGAGGAGCCAGCTCCAAAGCAACAGGGGGTACCTTTGAGAGTGAAGGAGATTTTCTGCATCTTGATTGCGATGGGGGCTGTCTGATTGCATGTATTCATCAAAACTTGCGGGACTGTGTGCTAAAAAAAGGTATGCTTTGTTGAATGCTGAATTATGCCTTAAACAAAATAATTTAAATGAAAAACATGCACACATTCAGGCACATTTCCTAAGAATGGAAAGATGCAAATTAAATATAAAGAACTGCACCCCACAGATCTGAGAGGGGAGGTGGAAACACAGAAGGGAACAAATAAATAAACAAGAAATAAATGAGGGGGTCTCACAGCAAAGTGATGCCACATAGTGTCATGAACTGTGACATGAATAATTCAATACTTTGTTCCTGGGGAAGGGAGAAAGAGGTGGGAGGGAAAGAGGGAGGAAGGAGGCGGAAAGCTGTATGGAGTTTATTTAATTGCAGAAGACTCTAAAAGAAACTAAACATTCATCAAAAGTAAATTGTAACACCTCCATACAGCAGCATCTAAACAGTTGTAAAAAGAAGCTTGTTTACACTTGTAAAAAGAAGCTTCAGATGGGATCATTAACAGGTAAACTGATTTTAATGGATCTAGTTTACAACACACCATGTATTTTTAAGAAGGGAGGGGGAAAGGTATAAAAATAATGGCTGAAAAAGTTAGCATTTCTTTTCAGTAACTTGCCTGTGTTTTTATTTATTTATTTGGTATGGGGATCAGGCAAGCTCTTGTGCAACTGAGCTAAATCTCCAGCCCCCAATTGCCTGCATTTGGATAAAACACTTTTGGAAAGAGACATGATAAACTGGCCTTATCCTTCAGCAGAAGAGCATGAGGCCAGAGGCTCAGATGGGAGGGAGGTTTCCCTATGGGCACCTTTGGTAGTGTCTGACAACAGAACCACGCAAACCTTTTTGCCTGCTTGAGCAATTTTTAGAGTTTAGGAGGCAGACACCAGCTTCCCCAACTGTGAGCTCACCACACTTCGTCGAGCAGTGTGCTTCATGCAGCGCAGGTGGATCCACTCTGCACACGTGCATGCGTGTTCAGGTCTCTGCAGACACCAGGAGAGGGGTGCACAGGTGATTTTCAGCATCCCTGAAGGAAGCTGAGATTTAGCTGTGAGGAGAGGCTCCAGTAGGCAAGACGGGGACTGCTGAGGGAAGCAGACTGTGCCATGGCTGCACATGGGCTGTGATCCTTCTGGACCATCAGATCAGTCACCCCAAAGTGAGGGTCTAGAGCTCCTGGGAGTCTGCACTCAGAGTCTGCAGACTAGACCTCTAGTGGTCTCCACAGCTCTGGAACCCAGTTCCTTGCTGCTTAGCATCCATGGGAGCTTGATTCTGAGAGAACAGCTGATCACTAGACAGTGTGTGACAGTGGGGACAGACATTTGGACATCTGCAGGATGCACGAATAAGGAATTAGAGGTCAGGTAGCCACGTTCTGTGTACCTAAATTCTATCAATCCCTGCTAGGTGACTGCCAGCCCCGTTTAGACACTCTCAGTAACAGGCAGTTCTTTACTTTCCAAATAGGACTGTCTTCTGGGAGAACAGTTCAAAGGGGTGACTTTCAGGTCTTTACTCGGAGGAAATCTGCCTCCCTCTCACTTCTTCCCATCAGTCCCCATTCTGCCCAAGGCAGCTACTTGGGACTGTGGGACTGCAGGATAGAATAACTCCAAGTAAGGATGTGCAAATATGGGCCTTGACACACAGCAGCTGTGTAACTAGAGACCTGCACCTTCACCCATTCCGAGCACGTCTCCTCATCCATACAATAAGGATAATAATAAAGCATGCTTTGTTGGACTGCTGAGGAAATTAATTAAGGTTGTGTGTGAAGTATGTGCAGTATAATGCACAAAGAAAATGATTAACTCATTGTGTCTAATTTCTAGTTGAATCCCCTCAGCTTTGAGACAGTCTGGAGAGTCTGAGACAATGACATTTTTGCCCAGAGGCCAGCCCAGCAATGATCTCCGTCTTCTGTTTCAGGTTTAGCTGACAGCAGAAGAGGGGGCCAGCTGGTACTCCTGCTGCCCCCCTGCCCACACTCACCAGTGATGAGGTTGTCCACGAGGGTGGTGGGCATACAGAAGATGCCTACCAGCAGGTCGCTGACAGCCAGGTTGAGGATGAACATGTTGGTGACAGTGCGCATGTGCCGGTTCTTGAGCACAATGAAGCAGACCAGGGCATTGCCCACCATGCAGAGGAGGAAGATGAGCGCATAGGCCACGATGAACATGGCTGCTACCGGTGAGGAGTGTTGGTAGTAGGAGGAGAAGGTGAGGTTTGCAGCCGGGGTGGCCTCAGCATTACTCCCATTCTGACTTGGGGGCCAGCTGCCATTGGGAGACTTGGGAGGCACCCCTAGGACCAAAAGATCACAGAAGTCAGAATCCTAGGCAAAAAAGTGGTGATTGACTCTTCACCATGGGTGAGACCCTTCTGTGTGGCTTGCCTCTGTGCCCTGGTCACATGCTTGACTCTAAAGCAAAGGATCCATTCACAGGTCTAACTCACCACTCCAACCCTAATCTCTCACCCCATCTTGCTCAAGACCCATTCTCCACTGTGGACTATTTTCCATCAATACTCCTGCTCCATCCTTCTGGACCTCGTTCTGGACCACAGAAGGCTCTGCTTCTATTGCCTGCATCTCTGGGGTGCCCTTGCCCTCTGGCTCTGGCTGGGATTATCCAGTGGGAGGCACTGAAGATGATGGAACGGGAGGAGAGAGGAGAAGTAAAGGCATTTGTCTCCTAACTTCCTCCCGCCTGGACCAATTCTACCAGAAGACGTCTCCCCATCTCTTATGGGCACAGCTTGATCCTTGCTATGATTTTAATGTATCCTCCATAAGTTTATGTGTTCAAATTCCAATTCCCCAAATCCTGTAATTAGAAGAAGGGCCTTTGGAAGGTAATTAAATTAGGTTATAAGGGTGAGGCCCTGATGGTGGTATTAGTGGCTTTACCAGAAGAGATTCTGGTCTAGCACACTTGTTCTGTCTCACCACATGGTGCTCTCATCATGTCACAATGTAGCAAGAAGGCCCTAGCAGATGCTCGCACCATGGTCTTGAACTTCCCGGCTCCCAAAACTACAAGCTAAATAAGCTACTGGGTGTTTTTTTAATAGATGACCCAATCTTGGATATTTCATTATAGCAACAGAAAATGGACTAAGAAGCTCTTCTTTCACGTCTCTAGCTCTTGCCAAGTGACACTAGCACTGTTCCTTCTTGCACCAACAGGTCTGCAGGTGGGAAGAGCGTCCTGTGATTGCTTAGCCCCATAATGAGCATGCAGCGAGGCAGAGCTGCTCTGTGTGTTTCTGCCTCAGGATCAGGCTTGAGCATATGTTTCTCAAGCTGTGTTTCGAAGGAAGTGGCTCAGTATCCAACCACAGCTCTTCTGGGAGGTCATTAGCTATGATGACTCAGGATGTTATCTTACAAACTCTCCTCCTGCCTTCCTCTGGGATTGGACATGGCCTATTCCAGGGGATGGAGAATCTCTGGGGAACTTTTTGTCACATCCAGAGCTCAGTCACTGGCCAGGCGGCTCACTGGAGGCTTGAGACCTGGGGGCTGGAGGCCCCTGCGGGTAGCAGGGCCAATAAACTGGTGCTATCAGGGCTCCAGGGAGCAGCAGGGGCTAGGGAGAGCACTCTAGTGGAGGCAGAGCTGGAGAAGTTAGAAAGTTCTTGCACCTGGTAAAGCAAGATGATACTCCTGATTAGGCTTTTCAAGGGCATCCAGTGGCAAACATTGTTGTTATAGAAAATAGCAACTGTGCACAAGAGAGACTATTGTGGTGAACCTATCCAAGAGCATGGTTTAACAAACCAGTACTAGAGAGAGAAGTGTAAAGAATTCCCTTGTAGGGTTGTGATTTGGCTCTATGCATAATGCCTGGCAAGTGCAAGGTCACAAGTTCGATTCTCAGTACCAAAAAAATAAAAGAGAATTCTTTTGTATATTTCACCAACCTTCAGCAACAACCAACTGAAGGCCAGCCTTGTTTCAGCCATACTCTGCTTCTTTTTTGGATCATGTTGAAGCAAATACCAGACATCATTTCTTTTCACCCACAAATAGTTCAGCTTGTGTCTCTAAAATATGTCTCTAATTTTTTAAAAGCAGCAATCACATCATTATCGAGTCTAACAAAATTAACCATTAAATTACATTATGATTAAATATTCAACATATCTCATTCAAAATTCCTTGATGGTTTCCTAATTTTTTAAAATTGCTGCAGAATCTGAACAAAATCTCCTCTACCCACTGGTGTGTGACAAACCACCCCCACCCTGAGTGCTGTGGCACCATGGCTTGGCATCTGGGTGGTTCTTCTGCAGGTTTCTTTTGGGATCTCTCATGCAGCAAGCCATCTGATGGCTTGGCTGGGGCTGAAAGGTTCAAGATGCCTCCTTCCTGTTGCTGGTGAGTAGGGCTGGCTATTGACATGGGGTGGAGGTTCAGTTCTCTACTGGCGTCATCCTCCAAGAGGTTGGACTGTGCTCTTTAGAGAACAGAGCCCTTAGGGCTTCAAGAGCAAATGAAGAAGTTGGCATCTTCACATCACTTTTGTGACTTCCTATTGACCAAGGCACCCCACATGCAAGCCAGCAGACACAGTCTTCAGCTCTTGATAGGAGGAACACCCACATTACATTGCAAAGGTTGTATGGACCTAGAAATGAGATTCACTAAGTTCCATACTTATAAAATCTGCCACTGAGTCCCTTCGGTGTTTGGCTGATGTGACTCCTGAGTCTCTTAGTTTACAGGTTCCCTCTGTGTCATTTCCCTCTGCAATTTATTTGTCATAAAGACTGCATGGTTTATCTGTAAATTTCCTGCAGACTTCGCTGATTGCTCCCTGGTGATGTCATTTTACACACTCAGTTATCCATGATCTGCATTTCCTGTGATTAGCTGGATCTGACAAGTTTGATCAGTCAGTGCTGTCAGGGGATCGCAGTCTGATCCTCCACCACCACGCTCCCCATTGACTTAATATTTCAGCACCCACTAATGAGCAATACTCAGAGCCTTAATTGCATTTAAAATACATCCACCTTCTTCACCATGACTTCAACCATGCTGGGTAGGCTGACCCGTCCTGACATCTCCCGTGCATACATGCATACGTCTCGGTCTGGTCTCATAGGCCCACGATGGTCTGCCCACTTTGACACCCTCTTAGCACCTACACACTCTTGCTTTCTCTAATCCCAGGGCCTTTGCTCTTCCCTGCCTTTGGCTCTCAGCTTAAGTGTTGTCTTCCTAGAGAAGCCCCAACTAATTATTTAAAGTAGATGCTCCACTATTATCTCTCACAGTACTTATTTATGTTCTTCAATCTGTTCATACTTTGTTTTTAGGATTATTATCCCCCTTCTTCCTTAAAAATCAGCTCCTAGAGAGTCAAGATCTTCCCTTTCTTGTTAGTGGCAATGCCTGCCCCTACTAAATGTTTAAGTAAAAAGTTGATAAATCGGCAAGGAATAAATAAATATTTGTAGGAAGCAGAAAGGAAGTATAGATCCTGGCACCAGGAGATGGCAGAGTACAGCGCAGAGCGGGCAGTGCTGTGTTGAAGGCTTCTTTAGGTCCCTCCAGAAATAACTAAGCGTAAGCATTCCTTATCCCAGGACTGTCATAGGGGTCACCATGCTGAGCCTCAAAGTCAACCCCAAACCGTTTCCCAAGATGGGGAAATCTGTGGGTGTAAGGAAAGAAGAAATTGCCAGAACTTGTGAAGCAGACTCCAGCTTACCCCCTTTCTCAGCTTCCTTCCTTTGGCCCTTAAGTGAAGCCGTTTTCCAAAATCAGCCCCTGACAAGTATCTGAGAGTGACACTGCTCACCTGTAGGCCTTCCACCAAGCCCAGGCAGGCTAGACTCAGCCCAGCTTCGGGCACTGTGCACTGGCCCTTTCTCCCTGAGGAAGAACTTCTTTCTATCCCAGGCAAGTCCCTGGACAGGTCAGCTGCTTGCCTCTAAGCAGAAGACCTCATTAACACCTTGGATTTGTCCTTTCTGGGATCTGCTAGGTGCCCTTGTGGCTACATCCTGTGAAATTTTTACCCATTAAGCCCAGTTAACCTCCTGGAGGTCTTGGGATGTAATGAGGCTGTCTCAATGGCCCGCTGATGATCTCAGAGACCAAGCTCTGGACCACTGAAAGTCAGCATAGGGAGCGCCCAGGCACAGCAGTGCTCTAAGTGTGGTCCCCACCAGCTGAATCAGCATCACCTAGAACCTAGGAGAAACAGAAATTCTTACCCCTCACTTAGGGAACCACAAAGCCTGGGGGCTAGAGGCCAGCTATCGGTGTTTTAAATCGTAAAGTAAGGCCAGGAAGTCGTGGCACAGTATTTGCTTAACATTTGGAAGGCCCTGGATTCCTTCTCTCACATGTCTCTTAGCAAAGAAAGTAAGGTTTTTTTTGTTTTTGTTGTTGTTTTTAAAAACATCCTTCAGGGCGATGGATTTAGCTCAGCGGCATAAGTGCCTGCCTTGCAATCACAAGGTCATGAGTTCGATTCCTGGTACCAAAAAAAAAAAAAAAAAAAAAAAATCCTTCAGATGATTCTGATGCACACACAAGTTTGAGAACTCCAGGACTGAAAAGACTTGGACCAATGCCCTGGTAGTGGCTGTCCTCTCTGGAAGTCCCAGCCCTCCCTCCTGCTTCCCCACCTTGGTCCCCAGGACTCAGTGTCTCACCTTTAAAACAGAAATGCAAGCATTTCCTGGCTGTGACACAGGGTAGATCATGTCACCTCTCTGGAAACCAGATTCCTCATTGCTAAGGTGGAGATAACTCCTAGCAAAGAGGGGTCACGGCCAAGTATCATGGCAGTAACAAAGAGCTTGGAGCCAACTGGGTGCTTAGTACCACCGGGGAGCAGCAGCATTGAATGCGTAAGATTACACAACGGATGGGAGCACAGTATTTTAGGTACTCCAGCACACTTAGTGGGAGCCTCCCTATAAGCCTGAAAGACGTATGTAAAAGAAAGCAACTCCCAGATCAAGGCACTTTGCCCGGATCCGGTCTCAGTGCGCCCAGAATCCCAAGCCTCACATTAACATCATCGTTGCCGCCACCTGCTGGTTGGTACTGGTAACACTTGGGGACGCAGTTTCAGTTCGTTTCACACCCGCCCTTAACGCCAGCACGGTCTCCTGGGAGCTTTTGGGTGAACCCAGCACTGGATCCGCTGAAAACCACCACGTGAGAGGCTGCCACAGGCCCAGAGGACAAAACAGGACAAACAGCTAATAAGCCTTGGAACATAAAGTTCAAGTCCATTCATTTACAAAAGAACATCAGAGTAACCTTTTCATCAATC